CTTGTGTTTGGCTTTGTCCTGAGGCCATTCCAGGTACGTGTAGCGGTTCATCATAGACTTAAGCTGGTAGTACTTGGATGGGATCAGATACTGGGGCAGAGGCTCAAGCAGCACCAGCACAATGCTGTCCGACCCCTGAGAAAGACGTTGGTGGCTGGCAAAGTAGAGCTCATAATGGCACCATTCACTCTTGACAAAGTGAGGGGAGAGCACAAACACTGAGCGGCGACTTTTCTCCACGCATGTGATGATGTTCTCCATAATTGTTTTCCCTGGCACAAAGTCTTTTTCATGGTGGCAGATTCTGAGCCCTCCTGCAGGAGCTTCGATGTTCAAAAGCAGGAAATTCTTCACCCAGTCTGCATCGTGCTGGCTGTAGGACACAAACGCATGGAACTCAATACCCACCATGTCTTCGGGTCGAAGCTGCTGCATTCTTGCTCGATGTTTGGCTCTGGTCCACTGCCAGATCATGCCCACGTACCAAGGCACATCCAGACGTCGGCACAGAAAGAAAACTGTGACGATCAGTACCACTGAAGGAACCAGGATGGTGGCTGCCAGGAGGCTGGCGCTGCAGGAGATCTCAGGAATCTGGACGCTTTCTAACGTGGAATTCCTGACTGCTTCAGGGTAGATGCAGTGATAACTCTCTGGCCAGTTTAACAGTTCAAGACCTGAGTGGCCACTCTCATATTCAGTCTGAATGCCAAGGCGAATGAAGTGCCTCAGAGGGCAGGTGCAGGTGAACGGGTTGTCACTTGCGTCCAGGATTTTCAGATTAGGGAAGCTTTTCAGGTTTGTCAATGAAGGTGCATGGAGGGAGTTTGACTTCAGCAGAAGCTCAGTCATTTTTGGCAAGTCGCCACATCCCGGCAGGTCACGGAGCCTGTTGGCATTCAGATTCAGAGAAGAGAGATTTTGCAGTTTGAGGATTGACTGTGATATTACAGAAATTTGGTTGTTCTGTAAGTCCAGAGTTTCTACCCCTTCTGGTAGACAATTAAAAACATTATCTGTTAGACCCCCAGAAGAAAGATTCATAACAGTGATGCTCGGTGGCCACACACATCCATTGGAACCGTCATACACAAAAGAGTTGATACTGAGGTCCAGGTGTTGCAGAGATTTCATGTACTGCAACCTTTGACTCACTACTTTAAGATCCTTAAGATTATTGCCTACCAGAAAGAGATTTTGTACATTGCCCAGAGTCTTGCAATTGACTTGACCTTCTTGACCTTCGAATCTGGAGAAGATGGAATCAGACAGCGCACAGAAAGAGAAATCCAACTCAAGGATGGGGCTCTGTTTTTTTGGACATGTCATGTGAATCAGTGAAGTCTCTACGATTGCACAGTGCTCTACTGGCAGATTGATGAAAAAGTTGTACAAGGCCTCCTGAGAGAAAAAAAAGGAGGTTACAGCTACTCGTGAGACTGTGAAGGACTGCAATGAAGATGTCTCTGTCACAGGGGTGTCTTTAAATGGGGGTTGATTTATTGCCACATCAGAGGCGCTCAGATGGGCAATGGATGTGTACAGAGTGGCATTTACTAATTGAGTTAAACTATTCCAATCAATTACAATGTTGTTTATGGAAAGAGTGCGAGTGGAAATTATGGCTCTTTTACTAAGCTGTGTTTTTACATATTCATAGCCCCCACTTATATTTCTGACTTCTACTTCTACAAAAAATGACAACATGTCAGCAAGCAAATCATTCTGGGTTATTTCTCTGCCATTTAGATCTACTTGAATTTTTTCAGCATGAATATCCATCAAGCTGTTTGCTTCATAATCAAGTCCCTCCTCCAGAGACAGGGTGAAGCAGTATAACGTCACGTTACCGATGTTCTTAAAATCCCCCAAGCTGATGACTTTTGCTCCAAGTGTCAAACTCTCCAGTTTTCTTAGGAAACTGAACTCTCTTCCCAAAGTCATGTTCTCAAACTTGTTCCATGCCATGTTCAGCACTCTGAGATTTCCTGTGAATGACAAGTAATGTTGGTCTGACAGGTTCCTCAGCACATTGTGTGACAGATCCAGATTTTCTAAAAGTGGCGTGTCATGAAACGTCTCTGTGTCAATGAGCTCCAAACCATTCCACGACATGTTCAGGAACCGAAGGAGGGTTGTGTTTTTAAATTCCCCTTTGTGGAGCTGATGTATGTGGTTGCATGACAGGTCGATATATTCGGCATCAAGAGGCAGGTCTGTCGGGACGGAGGAGAGGTTTCTAGACGATCGGTCTATGATGCTGTCATGGGATGAAGTACACATCTGCAGCACCACCAATACAGCCGCTGCCCAGAGGAATGCAGTCCAGGACCCCATTGCCTGTCTGGATAAATGGGAGATGTGGATTAATACCACTGTGACAGTGTTCCTGCAACATTTCCTGCTTACTTCACCTTGATTCAAGTTTTTATTGTAGAAGAAATGTTCAATGTATCCTGCTTTTACTAAATACTTTTTGAAATTAACAAAAAGCCTCCCAATACTTGAACTTTTTCAAATATTGCCATGTTACAATTAGTGTATCCTATTGGTTCTCCTGTAGATCAAAACAAAGGCATCCTTAATTGTGAAGTGGAAGGAAAGTAATGTATGGTCTTAATTATTATTATTCTTGTTTCAGAAAATACTGTAATACTGAATATGTAATATAAATTTTAACAGTACTGAAAAAAATAACAAGATTATATACCAGAACTCTCAAAACCAAACAGCAGAATATTACCCAAGTAAGAGCAGATAGATACTCAAGTAAATGTAAAACAATACTATATATATATATATGTATATAAGATCTAGAAACATAGAGCAGTGGTGTTGTGTGTGAGACTGTCCTGCAGCTGGAATAAAATGGCTTAATTTCCTCCTCCTTGTGTAGATCAGTTCTCCAGAACCTTGTTAATGACCTAATTATTCTATTCGGGTGTGGTGCAGCAGAGGCCCGTCTAAAAGTTGCAGGACACCGGCCCTTGAGGACTGGAGTTTAACACCTCTGCACTAGAGGATGCTATTGTTTCACCCATAGAAAACTAACACTAATTAATGAATAAAAAGGAAACACTCAGAATTGTTCTTAAAGAAACTATCATGACATCAGTCAAATACAGTCAAAGAAATGCATCATTGACTTAACATAATTTTTTTATATATAGACTTGTATCAGGGCTATATACTATGATCATTACAGGAAATTATTTGCAGTTACGACATCATAGTAAGTTCTTCTGAAGGAAACATTGTTGGTACTGACCAAAATCTTCTAAACCATATAGCTATACATGTAACCATATAACAGTTTTTCATGATTTTCTTCATACTGACTACAGTGAGTTTTGGATAAGAACCCTAAAATTACAGTAAGGGCTTTAATGGAATGGTTTAGATTATAGCCAAAATGAGGTTTGCTTCTACATTGAAAAAGTTCAAAGCATGTGAAAACTTCTGCAAGTCATAGTGGTTTAATAATCCTAATCCTTTTCTGTGCGTTTTCAATATCTTCCTGGTAATAAAGCTAATATGCTAAACAGTTCAAATTAAAAGCATTTTATACAGCTTTGACAAACATAAAATTGTAAAAACAGAGGAAAGAGTGCACAAACCTCAGCCAGCTTCAGATGTATTTTTTTAATCCAAAACTTAGTCACAGAAGATTGAATTCTCCAAGATGGGGAAAAAGTGCAATTTACTCAAAACAATGTTGTTTTTTTCACAAAATGGGTGCAAAAACAAAAACGTTTTCTCAAAAGTCAAGCATCAACTCTACTGTCAGATTGGCTTCTGCTCTTTGTAAAAGTGTTGCACTAAATAGCCACAGTGATGGGAAACAGAAATGAAAGCTCCCCTAATCCGCTGTGCTTCTTCTCTCACATCCACATCCCGTTTTCACTTCCTGTTTCATTTACAGACATAAATTTCTGCCTCTTGACAAGACGGTAAAGATACTGGAATCTGATTATTTTAGTGCATTTCAACATTCAGTTCTATTTTCTTTAATTATTAAAATAATTAATTTAAGATATCTTCCTTCTTAATTGTTAATGGTATAAGATTGAAAGCTTTGGTTCATTTCCAAGAGAAGTGTTGCAACATAAGTTCCACAAATGACAGATCAACTCAGTTTCAGCAGTTCCATCCTTTAGCGTCATGGTCACCCAATAATGTCAGTGGGGATAGTAAATAGACATTTATCACTTTTTAATTTGCTTACGCCTCGATCCCTTGAAGCAGAGTGACTGTGTTGTTTGCCTTACTACAATCTCTTCCTCTGGACAAGGTGAAATAATTTTTTGATGTGCTTTAACTGTGATGGAAAGGCTGTTTTTATTTTTAAGACACACATATCCCAGCAATTTCCTCTGCCACCCTGTGCGTTTTTGCCTTGGGTGACTGACTGGCACATATACAGAAAGGAGAGCTAAATCCAATAAAGTCACATAACGCGGTGTGTCCGTTGTCACCATTAGATCAGATCTGGATGGGAACACAGCAAATGTCCTTACCACCTCTTACAATAAGAAAAACAATGAAAAAGGAAAACAACTTGGATCAGCTCTTGTAAATTGGCAAAAAATGAACTTAATTTGTCTATTCGTCATGAACATTTGGCAACTATTAATTGAAACCTCATCACGAAGACGGGGTTTCCAGCTCTAGGAGCATTTCTTCAGGAGCAGAGTACAAGCTAATTATTGACACGGAGATGTTCTGTGTAGAAAAATACCCCAAAGAAAAACAAGTCATTAATACAGTCACAAAGTGTAATGAGGTCTTACTCTTTGCTTTTACATTTCATGATATAACAAAACTTTTCTACTGCTTTACTTAAGTAAAAATTAATCTTGTAAGACAATAATAGCAGCTTGCGTGGGTATGAGTCAACCTTTGTATGTGTGAATCTATGTTGCAGGGAGGGGCTGAGTGGGAGCAGAAGTACACAGAGGGAGAGACAGATATTGCAGGCTAACCAGGTTGTCAGATGGACACAGCAGCACCTTGAGGCTTCCAATGTCCCTCTCTCTTTGTTTCTCTGCTTGTCTTTCACTTACCATGGATCTACGTTCAGCTAGAAAAGGATTTATCACGGTAAAACTGACTGACACCTGCTGTCTTCAAAGTGGATTTTAAAGACAAAGTGGACTCCTTCAGTATGCTGAGCCATCCTTCCTGTCACACACACCTTTTGGTTTCCCTTCTGTTGTTGACGTTTCCTTGGGACCGGGCGGTCTGTTCTCCTGGGGAAGGCAAGAGTATCTGGCAGCAACCTAAACCGAGCCCCATTAGCAAAGACCAGTCTTTTCTTCAGGACACCTTCCCCCCGGGCTTCATCTGGGGTTCAGGTACATCGGCCTTCCAAAATGAAGGCGCCTGGAATCAGGATGGGAAAGGCGTCTCAATTTGGGACCATTTCACCCACTCCTCTACCAGTGATGATTTTCCAAGAGAGACTGCAGATGTGACAAGTGACAGCTACAACTGCTGGGAAGAAGATGTCGAGGCACTGGGATATCTCGGCGTAACATCATACACTTTCTCCCTCTCCTGGCCCAGACTTTTCCCTGAAGGCAATGCCACTGGTGAGCCCAATGCAGCTGCTGTGGATCACTACAGTTGCCTCATAGAGAGGCTCCTGGAAAAGAAAATTGAGCCTATTGTGACTCTCTACCATTGGGACTTACCACAGGTGTTCCAGGATCAATATGGAGGCTGGAAAAATAACACGTTAGTGGAGCATTTTGAGCAGTATGCAGCGTTTTGTTTCAGTACTTTTGGGAGCCGTGTGAAATACTGGCTCACAATGCACAACCCATACCTGGTGGCGGTGCAAGGATATGGGACAGGCGTGCACGCTCCTGGAGAAAAAGGGGGGTCTCCAGCTCTCTCACTGTAGCCCATAACCTGATCAGGGTGAGTCGTGCAGGGTTACTCAACAACTTTCTTTGTACAGTTTATAAGATTACACACAGTCTGAGCAAACTTTGAACTCTTACAGCTTTATCATTTTATGATAGTCAATGAATATCTCCAGAATGACTGTGAGGTCACAGGACAGAGTAGCAAACACAGACTTGATCACTGCTCTGTTTCTGACTTTAACAAGTCTCTTAATCCAACATGACTACTGCATATAATTAAGGCAATAATTCACGAAACATCCCCACTCACTGGCGGTTTTATCTGCCTGATGATTGGTAGGCTATATTCATATTGACAGGTTTTGTGATAAGTAAACAGGACACTTAAAGAGACACTGGGGTCAAAGTCCACCACATCAGCACTTTTGTGGTGGAGGGAATCTGCGTGTGTGTCAGGAAGTCACGGAGATACGCCTCATTAATACTCACTTACGTTTATGCAGTCGAGCACAGCTGGTCTGCTCCCAGCTAACACCAAGTAGATAGAATAAGTAAATAGCAATTTTCCACTTCCTCATACTGATTTTTATGCTGTTACAAATGTATCTCTCTCTTTTTTCCCTTTTAAAAAAGAATTATTTGATATATTAGCATGACATCTTAACAATCATATGGTAGCAGAATATGTATGAATGTCAAACCACTTATTTTTTTTAAATAAAGAATTTGATGTAGAGTCTTGTGTAGAGAGCCCTGCAAAAGTATTCCTCTTGAACGTTATTTGGTCAGAGCAAAGGAGGCTAAATACAAATGCGTGCAATATTTTAAGATGCATGAAATATATTTTTTCCACTTTACAATTATGTAATGATTTGTATCAGTCTAACTCAAAAACACCTAGTAAAATACACTGAAGTTTGTGGTTCAAGGATGCAACTTTGTGTTGCAAGCAGTGATGCGGTGAGATTCATAGTTGGTGAGGCACTGATTTAAATCATAATCAGATTTACAAATATAGACCCCCTGCATGTTATTGTTTACATAAGAAAATTTCGCGCATGCGTTGCAGGGCAAAAAGATTATTCTGTAATTTATATGTAGTATAATTCCGTGAACTCAATCAAACTTGGACATGTATTAATATTACCATATTATTAATTTCGCGATGCGCGAAATTAATAATATCGCAAAGGGAAAAACGTTAAAGTACAACTCAAAACCACGTCTTTCTGTATCAGCGCAGAAACAATAAATATATCGCTGCATTTTGACGTTACTCTATGGCGGGCTAGCTGTTACTGTCTCTTATTCTGCAGTTGTGGAGTCACAATGTCTGGGATCATGAGCGCCCCCTGCCGCGAGGCCGGAGAACTGCTTGCGTCACCTCGAATCTGTTCTCTGCCGTTTCTGATCGCTCCTAAGCGCACGAAACACGTCACACACCCAGTTGGTGACAAAAAACACTGAACACTCTCCTCTGAATATTGCCACGTTCTACGAACAAATCATGCAATTTTTTTTCTGGGAAAAATGTAGAAAACAGATGGTTGTTCTGTTTTTTTTTTGTTGCTCCCAAACAGTCAGTTTAACGTCACACGCAGGGTCCTTGCCATGGCAGCCAATAAACAGCCTCGGGAGCGCAGAGCAGAGATTACGTTGGTTGAGTTGCCATCTTAAACACCTGCACTTCTGATTACCTGTCAGAAAATGTATGTGGGTCGCCTTATTGTTGTGTTAATTGAACCGGAATACTCCGAACGCAGCAAGCGCACATGTTAAAAGTTAAAGCTAGCATGACTAACCTCAGCATTACCTTTGTATTAATGCTTTGAATACAAAGTGCATAATATTGTGGGAGTTTTACAAAATACCGTAAAATATATTCAGGCTGTCACATGAAGGCTAGGATTAATTTTATTTGTTGAACTACTTTTGTACTGTTTTCTTGTTTTGCCAACAAATTGACAACATCCTTACTGAGTCTTTGTTGTTTTTAGGCGCACGCCAAAGCATGGCAGACATACGACACTCACTTCCGCCCAACTCAGAGGGGTAAAGTATCCATTGTTTTAGGTTCCCACTGGGTTGAACCCCACAGAGGCCAGCCCACAGCTGCCAACGTTGCTCTCTGTCAGCAGTCCATGGAGGCCATTCTTGGTTGGTTTGCTGATCCCATCTTTGGTGCCGGGGACTATCCAGTCTCTCTCAAAATAAAATATGCCGGTCTCATGCCCATGTTCACCCCTGAAGAGAAGCTCTGGGTGCAGAAAACAGCTGACTTTTTTGCTTTGTCGTTTGGGCCAAACAATTTCCGTCTTGGCCAGAACCTGTTACACAATGGGCAGAGCATCACCCCAGACCTACGACGCCTCCTGGGCTGGATAAAACTAGAATACGGGAACCTGAGGGTACTGGTGGCAGAAGGGGGGTGGTTCTCTGATGCCAGCGTTGGAAGGGAAGACACAGTTGCCATATATCTGATGAAAAGTTTTATCAACCAAGTCCTACAGGGTAAATAGAAAATCTCTTGGATCTAAACTCTTAAATAGCACGTATCGTTCTTAGAAAATAAATACTGACGTCTTTTTATTTTTATTTTAGCCATCAAGTTTGATGGTGTGCAGGTATTTGGCTACTCAGCCTGGTCATTGTTGGATGGATTTGAGTGGAATTATGGCTATAGTGTAAGAAGAGGTCTTTTCTACATTGACTTCAATCAACCAAACAGAACCAGGGTTCCCAAGACCACCGCTCAATACTTCAAGCAAATTGTCAATGACAATGGTTTTCCAGCTGATGAAAACTTATCAACAGATGTTAAAGGCCATTTTCCTTGTAAATTTCATTGGGGGATAGCAGACTCCACACTGCAGGTAAAATGCATTGTTTTACGAGTTATAATTAAAGAAAGCAAAACAAACTTTGGTAGATCATTCATTTATTTTTTCTTATTTTTTTTGCTGTTTTGCAGGTCCGGTTCCACCCTTTCTCCCCACAGTTTTCTGACCCTCACGTATACAGCTGGAACCTCACAGGGGACGGATCGCTGCAGCGACTCCCAGGGGTGAAGCTTAACACCAGAACTGCCCAGTGCACAGATTATCTGGCTATCCGCAACCATCTCCGCTTGTTTGCATCCACTGGGGCATCTCATTACCGCTTCGCTCTTAATTGGTCTCTCATTTTACCCGAGGGAAGCCGCTCAAATGTAAACACCGAAGCCCTGAGGTAGAGCTCAACAAACACACTAACCTCTGAGTGTGGAAAGATTCTGCTTACTTTAATTTAATACATTTTAATGGAAACATTTTTATTGTTGAAATTTTAAGTGTCTTACAGAATATTAATATTACATTAAGTTTTGAGATTTTGTCACATTACATTCTGAAACGCCTGAGTATTTTTTTTTTCAAAATGTCTTGCATGGCTTGCATTTTTATTCAGTCCTGTTTACTATTATGCTCAAAAATACAATTCAATGTTATCAGTTGCACTGTTCAATCCATCAAAATGAATGATAGGCCTCATAAGGGTTAGGTTGAAAGTATCTATGAAGATCAGTTTTCAAGCAAGTTATGTTTTCAGAAGACTGAGCAAATATTCCAGTCTCTGGAGGTCCACAGCAGGTAGAGACATACCATAACAAACTTGCAGCTATACTTGCATCAACAGGTGGTTCATCAAAGTATTTTTTCAGGTGTCAAGGATACAAATGAGCAGCACAATTTTTAGTTTTATTTTAGTATAGGATAGTTGATATAATATTTTCCTGTTCCTTCACATTAATTCTGATCAACTTACCAGTTTCCACTGTAGAAGAGCATGCTGACAACATATTGTTACCACAACTACATATCAATATGGAATGGTTTGTTTTACATTTACATTTTTGTTAGTCTAGTGTATAAACCTGCAAGAAATACATTGAAATGTGTGGTTGCAATATGTCTAAATGGAAACCACTTTAAGGGATATGAGAATCTTTGTAAGAAACTGCATTTCCCAGTAATTAATTGACCTTCCTTTTACTTGATTTGTCATCCAGAGTGCAAAAAATAACATCTTCCTCTGTACTTCCAAAAGGTACTACCGCTGTGTGCTGACAGAGATCAAGAAGCTAAACCTGGAAGCTATGGTCATCCTGTACCACCCAACACACAGAGCTCCGAACTTGGGTTTGCCAGGGCCACTGCATGCGTCTGGCGGTTGGCTGAATTACACGACAGTAGGAGCTTTTCAAGAATATGTAGCACTTTGTTACCAGGAGCTGGGTACCTGGGTTCACTACTGGATCACCATCAATGAGCCAAACAGACTCATAGATGTTTATTCCAATGTCACAGAGAGGCATCAAGCTGCTCATAATTTGCTGATAGCCCATGCCAAAGCCTGGAGGTTACATGAGAGGGAGTATTTTGGTGAACAGAGATCACTGGTGTCTCTCGCTCTACATGCTGATTGGGCCAGCCCCGGTAACCCTTTTCTAGAGTCACATACAGTGGCAACGGAAAGATTTCTGCTGTTTGAACTTGGATTCTTCTTGGACCCATTGCTTGAAGCAAAAGATGAGAAGAAAAAGGGGAAATACCCCTATGAAATGAGGGAATACCTGGATGAAAGAACAAGGGTGTTTGGACTTCCCAAATCACCTCTTCTTCATTTTACCACAGCTGAGAGACAGGAGCTGAATGGGGCATTGAGTTTTATTGCCTTGAATCATTTTACAACACGTTTAGTTTCTCCAAATCCTCACAAGCAGGACATCCTCCAAAAGAAACCAGCACCTGAGCATGATTGTGTGACTTTCTCGGACCCTACCTGGCCGTCCTCCAGCTTGGGGCAAGCTCTGGTACCCTGGGGTTTACGGAAGATGCTGAAATGGGTGAATCAGAGGTATGGCAGAACTCTGCCTATCATTGTCACAGCCAGTGGGATTGATGACCAAGCTTCAGTTGAGGATAACCTCAGGCAGCATTACCTCAGGAGTTATATACAGGAAGCTCTCAAAGGTAAATTATCTTCATGTCTTGTGGAATTATTGGGTATAACAAACACATGAACAGTCTTATGTTGCAGATGTTGAAACAGAGATCTGTCCCCATAGGTAATATTGCTTTAATGACCGTATTGGTTCCTACCATAAAAGTCAGACTTAATGAGTTGGCATGAAAATAATCAAACCATAAAGAAAGGGAGAGGCAGTTGCTGAGACTACAGCTCTGATTATTGTTCCACATTTTGCTGATGGTGAGCCATACAGTTATGTGTTTTAAGTATTTTGTTCCCATGTTGGCTAATGAAGAAACCCTTCAGAATTAAAAAATAAAAATACAATTAATTTTTACTTTCTCTTTTTTTTTACTCTCAGCTTATCATCTTGATGGAGTCAACTTGCATGGTTTCTATGTGTGGAAGCTCCAAGATCGACATGCCCCTCTGTTTGGTCTTTTTACCTCAACCCAGCACCAATCCAAAGCCAAGGCCTCTGTCGCATTGTACAGAGAAATCATCGCTAATGGTGGTTCTTCTAACAATAGCACAGCACAACTGTGTAGATCCCCTGAGCAGCAGGAAAAATGTTTGACTTGTGAGTGGATGTTGAAGAACAAGCCAATGCTGGTTTTTGGGGGCTGCCTTCTGATAACGTCTGCCATGCTGGCTGCACTCATCATCTTCATTGTTATTAGCAAGAGGAATAAAAAACAAGGCAGAGGGAGGAAGAAGAGGAGAGAGAACGGAAGGAGAAGAAATAAAGCATCAGCATATTGTTTTTGTCCTGATGTTAGATATTAACTGTAGTAAGGACCTGAATTTGTACTAGAAAAAATGCAGAGAAGAACCACAAAATCTACCTGTGTGTTCATCTTGCAGTGACAAATGAGTTCACTTGCAATGTATGTCACAAAACATGTCAAAACAATTAGTTTTAGACAGTCATGGCAAAAGGAAAATATACATTGTTTTAACTTTTTTATATTTTGTCACTTTGCAGACATAGACTTGAATGTACTGTGTTTTTGTTCTACTTGATAGACAAATGCATAGTGGTGTCATAGAAGGAGGACAATTATTATTATTTTTTCTTAAAGCAGAAACCTTGAGTTGCACATTGATATGTTTTTATCCTGACCATCTCGTTGTCACTTTGAGTTGTGATCTTTCTGCAAACAGAACCCTTACGTCGACTTTTCACAGGATCGCCCCAAATTTAGCTTAATTCATCTTCCTACTAAATCTCGCCTGCTTCCCTGTCATTTATGAGGAAAAGTGTCCTCACAACATTATGATGCCAGTAACGTGTTTCACCATGAAGATATCAGTTTTTTTATTGGCATGTTGCTTCACATCCAGAGTACATTCAAGTTTGTGCTTGTGAAATGACCCAAACATAAAATCACTGAAAAAGGCTGTCTTTTAACCAGGTTCTAAAAAAAATATTAGTCTACTTCAAGTGTGTGATTATTTATGCCTTTACAGATTACTATATTGGCAATTTCTAAACCTGCCATTCAGTACTGAAAACAACATGAAATAACTTCATGAGAATTGTACATTAATTACAATTTTGTTTGTGTGTGTGTTATTCTGATATAATTTTTTATTGAATTGTGTGTAGTTCTAGTTTTTATACGAAGATGTCTGGTCGTCCTTTGTCAAGCGTTCGTCACGCTGTGTAATTCTCCTGGGATGGAACAACAGCGCCATCTGGTGTTATTACGTGACTCTGAGATGAAACAGTCAGTCTGGAAGTCTGCTTTCAGAAAACAAAGAAGAAGCATAAATTGCAAGGCCACAGCAGATCTTTGAAGGATTTAATGGAACTGCACCGGTGTCAGTCAAGAGTTAAGGCCTTTTATAGACAAAGAAGTTGCCAGAAGGAAACTATGCATGAAAGACATGACCCTGTTGTGTTTGCAGAGTTTTTGTTAGTTTTTGTCACTTTGAAACTTCAGATATGAAGTGCTGCTAAACTGTACAGTGGAAAAAAAAATGTGATGAAAGAAAATTTGACTTACATAAAATAGCTTGCTTTTCCCAACAAGATGGTGTACATTCTTTTAAAGTCTGTGGGACCAAAAGTAGAAAAAACATTTAGCCTTCCATGTAAATTATTGTAATCTACATTGTTATTTTACCTACCTGTTATTTCATTTAATTTATTTTTAATTATTAATAAATAAACAGTGATTTTAAAAAAATCCACAGTTTGGCTTTTTCAAATAAATAACATGCAAACTGTTGAAAACGTTATTTCCTATTTGTATCTCACTTCATTATTTGTTATATAACAGCTTTTTAAATTGAGGTTTTTTGGGGGAAATTTAAAAGGTAAATAATAATAATAATAATAATAATAATAATAATAATAATAATAATAATAATAATAATAATGATAATAAATAGGTTTTCATTGTAAACTGATCGACCAATGGGAGGGAGCGTTGACGGTGTTGATCACATGACCCTGTCTCCTCTAGACTGCATGCAGTTTTGGTATTAAAATGTTTTCTGTTCTACCAACCATTGTGTTGTTGCTTCATATTTGAGATGACAGACTCACATTGAGCTACTTCCCCCAGATTAAGCTTCCCACCAACTCCGGGGACCGACGTGACAGGAGGCGAACAACGTTCCAGCTGTTATTTTTGAGTCCGTGCATTTTAAAAGGAAAAAGTCAGGAGCTGTTGTCGGTAGAAGCAGCTAGCGCTAGCTGACTGGTCGGACTGGCGACGAGGCCCCAACCAACCAAACGGACAGGAACACTGGGGGAACCATGGCCAATATTGCTGTTCAGAGGATAAAACGGGAGTTCAAGGAGGTCCTGAAGAGCGAAGAGGTTGGTTGTCGTGTTTGCCACTCTGAGTCGGACCTGATTTTATTTCACTTTCTGTGGCTGAATGAGTGACGCTTGCTCACTAAAGTGGCTAGCTGTAAGCTAACTGTCTCGGCTATGATAATAAGTGGCGACAAACGTCAGCTCACCATAATGTGCCTCAGTGATCGTAAGTGTAGAGAGTAACGATTGCTTTAAAATGTTCCCAGCATATGTTAGCTTACCAAGTTTCTTGAGGATATTATTAAGTAGGGTACCTTCTGTGGTCGCTAAGCTAGCCGGGGAAATCCATGCAAATGTTGTTTGAGAGTTGTAATAATTAAAGCTTACATCACCCACGTGTTATCTTTACCCCAATACACAACATTTGAAATCACTCTTACTCATAGAGCTGTGAGTGTGCAACAAGTTGTGGGCAACCTCTCATAATCCTGATGTTGCATGAGTTGGCAATTAAAGAGGGATTTCTTATGACAGCGTGGATGGTTAACTGCCAGTGTTTGCTCTTTTTTACTCTTCCAGACAAGCAAAAACCAAATAAAGGTAGACCTGGTTGATGAGAACTTCACAGAACTCAAAGGAGAAATAGCAGGGCCTCCTGACACGCCATATGAAGGTGAGGTCATTTTTAAGAGACACTGTCAACTTTTCTGGATAATAATAAATAAAAAAAAATCAAATTGCACAACTTTCTCGACAGTAAGGCTACATTAAATTGATATTTTGAAAAGCTTTTTTTTTTTTTTTTTTTTTTTTTTAGCAAAAGCTGAAATCTATGGATTGATTTTGGGTATTGCCATAAATCATTTTTCAAGGTTCTTTTAATTGTTAGAATAAAGGACAACTAGAAACTGAAGCTTATTATGCTAATGATTGTGGGTCACATACCATGTTTGATGGCATTAAACTGTTCAAACTAGTGTGGTAGCAGCAATGTTTAGTAGCATGCTATCTAACATTGACTAAATTTATTAGGTTTTTATAAAATGTAGTCAAAAGTATTTTAGCTAAAATTTCAGCTCTCTTGCTGTCACTCTTTTAGCTTGTTGACTAAGTAAATTAATTAATTGAATATGCAAGAAGCAATATTTTGGTTTAAAGTATATGAAAAGCAAATCTACTTTTCTAAAATGATAACTTTAGCAAGAGGGCTATCACTAGTATATTGACAATGTGCTCATTCTAGAATGGGAGCTATAGATTGTAAACTAAAATACTGTTGTTGCCTCAACAGATAATTGTCAAGTTGGTCAACATTGATTCACTCTATTTGTTTCGAAACATTTGCCTTTAACACAGCAAATACCTTAAAAACTAATGGGAGAAAAGTTCTAAAAGTATGCAGGTTTGGAGAAGGGTTGGTTTTGGGCTTGAGGCAAATTGGGATTAGGGTTGCAAAGAGGGTTGGAAGGAGAGTTTTAACTATGGTTCAAAGGGCGGCTGGAATTAACTTTGGCAGGAGGGTTGGTAATTATTAGGGTTTCAAATGAGGGTTGGAAGAAAAGTTGGAAGGACGGTTGGAATGAGGGTTGGTATTAAGGGTGGAAGGGTTCAGTTGGCATAGGCGTTGTGTGAATTCATTCCTCCCAGAGTGATGCATCTGCTAATTACTGTTCTTCTTTACATTCTAATTTGATGCACTTTAAGACATGCCAATATAAATTAAGCATCAAAATTTGTAATTTTTGAACAATTTATTAGGTGCAAAGAACTGTATTTAATCCCTATCATGATTGTCATCATGATGTCAAGCAACTGCTTTGATAACATTGTTGAAAGACTGCAGCATTTCAAGGGCTGAACATTAAAACTGCTTGCCAAAAATTCATTGTTGCTGTGCCACATTTCCTTGAATTGCAATCAGAATCCATTTTGGAATATAAGATAATTATACTGCAGTGTCATGTTAATGTGTGTGTTAAGAAAATGTGCATGTGCAGCTCTACTGTGAACTAAAATGGCAGAATTTATTGAATTGCAAGCATTTTTGCAAGATCTGCGTGTAAAATTGAATTGCAAAAGTAATTGCATTATTGCTGTACACGTCAATTATAATTTCGAACAGATGACAAGACTCTAATGACCCTAATGCTGTCTGATCCATAACGGGATCAGAGTTACGGAGACATGTTTCTTGTTGCTGTTGTCTTTGTTCTTATATACCCAGGGATATGTTGTACATTTATCTTCTCTGAATTAACCTACAAAGCGTATAAATTTTTTAAATAACACGGTATTGTTTTTCTGTTTTGAGAATATATTTTTACTGTTGAGTATTTTAGAGTTTTTAGTCTTTTTACCTTTGAGTGACTATACATTCTCCACTTAACATAATTTGCTGCTGTCACACTTGAATTTTTCCACTTTGGAAAAATAAATAACTATTCCTTGATGATGGAAAAGAAGAGACTGGTGAATAAAATGTGGATTTACTGGAACCAGTATCGCTATTGCAACGTTCCTGACCTTTATGGATAGTTTTGTAGCACTACTCTTTACTAAATTAATTTTAACATTTTTCATCTCTGTTTTAAATTTTCTAGATATTCCAACCTCTTTCCTTTATTGTGTTACTGGTTCTATTTTTGACAGGCGGTAGATATCAACTAGAAATTAAAATTCCAGAGACGTATCCATTCAATCCACCCAAGGTAAGGTTTCATTTGTTTTGCTGCAACTAATGATCTTCCTGGTGCATAAAGAAATTCCCATCACTCTGCTTGTCTGTGTATGTCTCCTTGCTTTTTTCAATACCTAAGGTGCGGTTTATCACAAAGATCTGGCATCCCAATATCAGCTCAGTCACAGGTGCAATATGTCTGGACATCCTTAAAGATCAGTGGTGAGTAAATCATTGCCAAGATTTAAATTGTTTTTTTTAAATATTTTTCCAACTATGTAAGATAGAGTAAAGAATTAGGGCTAAATAAGTTGATTGTGGCTATTTCACATCTTTAGCCCATTAGTTCTAAGATGCATCCTAAATGTAAAAATCTGAGTGAAGGAAACACTTAGAGCTGCTTAAAGAATGAGCAGCTGTTCATAATTTTTGAAAGAGAACATGATTGATTGTACCATGTACCTTACAGCAACATAAGCTCGCCTTTTAAGTAAAAATATCCTGTGGAAATTAATGTATCCATGCCGAGGTTCCCGTCATACATTGCAGCTCACTTTCTAACACTGGTGGAATATATCAAAACCTTAAGGGAACAGATGGACTAGAGCCATGCCAACAAAATGCTTCCCATAGTGAATAGAGCGAACCAATCCCCACCATAACAGGACGGGGGCCTGACGTGTTTATTTCCTTTGTGTGTCCATGCATTTGCACTGCTGATTTGCTTATGCTCCTCAGATGATCTATATAATGAAGTGTTGCTATTGGTAATGCCTTAATTATTGGCAGTTTTCAATATTTTGTTAGAATAATGGAGCTGATTCAAATGTACCATAGTTTCTGCTTCATCTTGCGTAGATTCAAATGCACCACTCTAGCTTGAATGAATGGTTAGTCATACTGTTGAGTGCACTTGTGTATAAGCACTTGTATGTCATTTCGGAGCTCATTCAGTTTGTGCTCATTGTGATGATGTTTCAGGGCAGCAGCCATGACACTGAGGACGGTCCTCTTGTCATTACAAGCCTTACTGGCAGCAGCAGAACCAGATGATCCACAGGATGCTGTGGTAGCCAATCAGGTGTGTGTATTTGTTTTTCAGTTTTATGTATGACTCTGGAGTTGTCTAAAATTCACTGTTTGGTCATATCAAGACATGAACTAGCCTTGTTTGTATTTGTACTGAAAACTTTTTCAGGTCAAAGTTTTTTTCACTTATTATTTGTGTGGCTTCTTTCAGCGCAAACTATTAAACCTTACCATTTAACCTTCATCTTTTTGTTTGACCTCATTACTTACAGAATGACTTGGAAATGTTTATGCTAGAATGTAAAAGAAAAACAGTTGGAGCTGCTACATCTCGTTTATCAGTTCATGTATGCAGCACATTATTCAAGTAAGGTGCACAAAACTGTAATCCGAGGTTTCCTTTACTATAGTGTAGGTTTTAAATGTATTAGCTGAACTTTAATTTTTAAAGGTCTTGTTGAATTCTTTCCGACAAAGGTAAAGATATGAACTTTTCACCAGACTCTTTGGATGCATTAGGTGTTCAAGTGTCAACTTTAATGTTGCTCTTATTGCCTTTCAAAAGGTTTCTGGCTAAATATCTCTGGCATGCCATTGGATACAAATAGATAGATTAAAAATTTATTACGAGTCAACAACAGACTTTAAATGCATCTTTTCAGGTATTTTTGGCTTTTGGAGCAACACGTTTTTTTTTGTTTTTTTTTGCAACATTTCTGACATTGTTCAGAAATGTCATAACAAGCTTTCTTTTACAACATGACACCGTATTAATTAATTTGCAAATAAATGTTGAGGACTCTCAGCACCAATAATGATTCTAAGTTTACAAAAAATAAAAATAATTTTTTTAGTGCACTTTTTTGATGTCGGTAAAGGACACAAATTAATCTGTTATTCAGCAGTAAAGCAACTGAAACTTTAAAAGAGCAGATCTGGCTTTATGCCTGCTTTATTTTGAACTGAAGACTTTATCCTTTGTATATTTGAAAACTATTAGCTGCTATAAATGCTATTTGAATAATGAACTGGGTCATTTAAGTAAAGAACTACTACACTTTGGAACTGAGCAAGATGCAATTACTTTAATAATGTGTCAATAATGTAGAAGTACTCAAGCGTTTAGAAAATCTTTAATAAAAGGACATTACAGTTGTATTGTGTCGAACATTTGCTTTCTTTTTTTTGTAGGATGTAAAACATGTATCTGTTTGTAAACTTCATGAATTTGGTGGCATAAAATGAGAAAGCTGACCATTTTTCCCCAATGATCCAAACAGACAAAACAAGAAGCCTTTGAGTTGTTGACAATCTGTCTGCTGAGCCCCCTTCCATAAACTCTTTGTTTGTTTGTTCACCCCTCAGTACAAGCAGAATCCAGAGATGTTTAAACAGACAGCAAAACTCTGGTCTCACATCTACGCAGGAGCTCCCGTCACCAGTCCGGAGTACACACGCAAAATAGACAAACTCTGTGCCATGGGCTTTGAAAAAGTGAGCTTGCTGTAGTAAACTTTAAGTTTCATCATGCAGCACTGTGTGTGTCACAGTGCTGCATGATGCTGCAGATTAAAACCAGCCTTTGTTTATGTCTCCAGAATGCAGTAATAGTGGCGTTGTCGTCAAAATCCTGGGACGTGGAGACGGCAACAGAGCTCCTCCTCAGTAACTGAATTTCGACGCCCTTCGTGTTCCTCCTGATCCACACGTCTGTCTTCAACCGTACACACCCTCTTTCCTCCAAACTCCTGCTGTCTGAAGGCGAATCCTGCTCGATCCTCCCCTCTGTTTTTACATCGGACACATTCCCCTTCTTCTCCTCTCTATCCTCACCGTGTGACATCTCCTCTGTCCAATCATCTGCTCTGTCAGATCTTACCTCTGGTTTCTTTAAGGCCACCCAACATTCCACTTAGTGATACAATCAAATCGACATCCACTTTGAAACAAAATAGAAACCAAACTCCACCTACATCTGTCATTCTGTCCCAGTTTTCTGGCTCTGTCCAAAAAGCGGCTGTCAGCGGCTTATCCTTGCCTATGCAGTGCATTTATTTTCATTCATGCTAACCTTTTTGTTGTAGAGGGTCAGGCCATTTAAAGCAGCTTTGTTTTAGTTTTTGCTCCTGATTCTTATTTAATAAACGTTTGGCTTGTTTTCTAAAAAAAAAAAGAAGAAAAAAAAAACAAAAAACGAAATCTCAGTTTTAAAAATTCTTGCTCCCAACATTCGGTTTAGTGTCTCTGGACTATTAAAACAATCAGTTTTCTGACATCAACAGTGTGCAGAAAACAGAGCATCTGGCTAATGATATATTGCAGTGTCAGTATATTTAATTTGAAGAAAAGATGAGCATCAGAGTAAACCATCACATTTTTGTTCTGTCACAGAGGAGTTCAGCACTGACTGTAGTACACCGTGTAGGTGGGCTTATTCTGCGTTCCTGAAAACAACTCATTAAGCGTCTTGCAGGTGTTCTCACAGTAGCCATCCTCATGCCAAGTTTCCCCCCCGCCCATCCGTCAACATCTGGCAGCTCCTGTTGGAGATTCCTCTCCTCCACTTTTGCCACATAGCTTGAAATATTTTTTCTTCATCTGGCCTTCTCCTTTTCTTTTTAAAACACTTTTATTTAGGAACATGGATGCATTTGATTTCTTGTTTTTAATCGGAGAGAAAAGCAAACAAAATTGATGTTCAACACGACCTGTGACAAGTCTAGAATTAATTGCATCAACAAATAAATGTCAATGACTCATCTGTAAATAAAAAGATTAAAGTCTGTGTAAATTAGTCTGTGCTTTGCTGTTTCTTTTCTGTTGAAAATGTTGTTTGTTGTCTGGTTATACAATGCTGTGCAAAAATATTTAAACCTCAAACATTGTGTATACTCAGCATCCTGAGTCATTACTGTGCAGAATTACTATTTGCTGCAACTACAGACAAAAAAAGTCATTTGGGATATTTCTTGATTGTTTTGCACCCTTTGCAAAATGTCTCAAACTCAGGCACATCAGTGCAATTTTCAAGTCTTTCTGCAAATGTTTTGGATTTAGATTTGGAATTTTGACGGCATCAGATCCTATTGATTCTAGAAGGTGAACCTCAATATCTCAAAAGTCATTGATCTGTTTATTGGGACGATATTTAAAGTATACGATAACCTATTCTTGATGTATGCATTTCCTTAAAAGGTTAACCTTAACTGTTGATAAACAGAGGATTTATTTATGCTCAAGGCAACCTTGGTTTATACATTTAATTGCTTCTGCATGCATTTGAATAAAAAAACCAGGCTGACGCACTACATTAACTCCAGGATTCAACCTGCAGGGGTTTACTTTGCAGTAAAAATGGTGCAGACCCCTCAATTTAAAAACATCCAGTGGCTAAGCATACCCTAAATTGTTTGGAGTCATAAAATTGCTTTTGCATTCAGATCATGTACAGTATCCTTTTTAAGAACTTGTCTGTGAGCTGAATCCAGTTTTCAGGTTTTTGCCTCTTTGGATACAAAGTAGGTACAAACAGATGACTTGTTCAATACCAACTTGTGCTTCTGAATCCATCCACAAATCCCGCTAGTTAAAAGAACTTTTTTCACCTTGCTTGCTCCAAATATCGCACAACAAAGTGATGAGATGTTTGGATTTAATTTTACTGCTCTGCAAAATTCATCTGCCCCCAGGCGCTTTCTTCTGTTGCATACTAGATGTAGGCATCTCATGACTTCTCAAAATTTAGCTTTAAGGCTCAATATTGATTGCTATGTTGTAAAATCTGAAGTTACTGAATTGCAACTATTACCTTTGAATTCATCTTGTCCATAAAAAAATCTGTCTAGAATTGCATATACACTGATTATTGCTGCATTGAATTCAGTGTTAATGATCATTTTATTTATTTATAGGTGAGAATGATTTTCTGTTTTTTACTCTAATTTTACACTTATTGTGGATTTTTTCCAAATTATACCTGCAGGCTCAGGAATATATATACATTCATACTGCGCAGATGGAATTATGAAGAAGAAACACTACCTCTAAAGTCTGCTCAAATCAACATCTATGCTGGTGAAACATGAAGATTGGGTGTTTCAACAGGGCAGTGATCTCTGACAAACATCAGTTTCAGCCATGTATGACATTTATGATGGCCTTAGAAAGAAATGCTGCTGCAAATGACTCTTACAACAATCTTTCTGCTAAATTTGAGGTCCAAATGGAATAGCCTTATGATGAAGCCCCTGGAAAACAATTATACCAAATGAGGTCACTTAGAAAGTAACGCATTTCACATTTTTTTTCTTGCAGGGTTTAATAGTGTTGCATGCGCAGAGCTGCGGCCCAGCTGGATGTACAGCGTAGTTGAAAGGAGAAAAAAATTCTGTATGTGTAGTGAGGCGATGATTTGTGGGCATCCTGTTTCCCTCGCTCTGCTGCTGCTATATGATAGCCAGAGTTTGTTTCCGTGTCCCCGTCAGCCAGACATGCTGCCTCCCCCGCCAAGCAGTGAGAGCTGCAGGGACGGCCAGATGAAACGGTGCCCTGCTATCTACAACTGAGTTCAACTGGGGTTGAACGGGCGTCATGTAAGCCTTTTAGGGGAAGGAAGCTGTTGGATTTCTTCTTTAAGTCACCTTAACTTAGATCTGGGAGATATCTAAAGATGTTTGAGATGATCCAGGTGATCTATTTGACAGTGCTGCTTCCTGAAGGTAAGTTGGGAACATTGTGTTTTTCTCCTACACATTTGGCTTTTCTTATTTTAGTTACATTTTTTCAGTAGTTTTTATCATCAAATAGGTTTAGTTTAATAGGTGCATATTGCCTTTACACCATTTGTTTCAATCACATGTTGTTGAAAATACAATTTGAATATAGAAGTTGGCAACAATAAAAAAATCGATTTTCCAGCTTTATGAAATAATAACAACCCAAGGTCTACAGCTTGGAAAAAAGACAATTGTAATCATCTCTTCTAAATCAGAACCTCATCTTATTTTGCCCCTTCAGTGGTTTACTGCGCTCAAGGCCACTATGCCCAGAAGCTCCTGAACGACCTGATGGAGAATTACTCCAGCGCCCTGCGGCCTGTGGAGGACACAGACAGAGCGCTCAACGTTACCTTACAGATCACCCTCTCTCAGATCAAAGACATGGTGGGTAGTGGGTTACAAGCATGTCTCATACTGTACACTAAAATGCCACATATACACAGCTGGGTAATAACTAACCGCATTAACTAACACTTACTTGAGTTACTTTTGGAAAAAACAACAACTATGTACTATCTATTTTTATTGTGCTGCAGCGGGACAGCCAATTGAAGGCCTGAGGCCTCTGTTCATGAATTGCAGGCTTTAACCCTGTGCTGCCGCTGTGCAATATGCTGCGCTTTCTGCTTTTACTTGAAATTTCATTAAGAAGTACACACTTCTGAATACTTAATAGAATGAAGAACAAGCTTGTTCAATTCAAAAATTCAGGACACGTCCACATTTTATTCAAGTTTCATAAGTTTTATATGGAAAGTTTCAGAAATTTTGCTTTATTAAAAATAAAGCAAAGTTTATTTATTTTTATTTTTTTACCTAATTTTGTAATTTTTATTTTTGCCCTGAAATTTCCAACATTTTCATATAACTTTATGTTTTGGTCCATCTGATTATTATGTAGGTTTTATATGTTAAATGATTGATGCTTTTATCAGTTACCCAATGCTTTCTAGTCTTGAGTAGAAATGTTTTGAAGTTGTGGTACTCTTACATGAGTACAATTTTTGTCTGCTCTGCCTGCCTTTGCACATATTAAAGCGTTCAAACATATCAAACATTTTCACTCTGAAGCACGTAAAGTGTTTAAAAATCCCAAATGATCTATCTTCAAACACAGTTTTGTGTCCAAAATGTGGTTGTGTTAAGTGATGATTCTGGGCAGAATGTTTTTCAGTAGCATGACAAGATAACAATGCCAGGATATTAGTCCCATTGCTGCACAACATAATAGTTCTGATTAAGTTCATTTGTTAAAACAAGAGAAAACACAACAAGTTGAGATGAATCACATGGAAATAAAACGGATTACTTGTGCTGAGTGTTCCAGAGTGTGAGTTTTCCCTGAATTATTGTCACTGCGTATTGATGCAGCAGATCCCTCGGAACTCTAACCGCTGACGGTAATAAATGCGAGGCAGACCTGTAACTGTTAAAACCTCCCTGTATGGCCTACTTGTATACAACTGGTTCAGATTCCCGTTCAGGTTCAGTGACGTGTCACCCCTCGGTGAATCACCAGCTGAATTGTGAATGCGTTTAGAGAGACTGCGCACCACCTTATTGTAATCTATCTACCGAGCTGTGTGTTGCTGTTGGCTTGTTATATCAGAGTACACATGAAAGAGAGCTGTGCAAAACTCTGAGTGAGGGTGTTTTGTTACTCGATGCGGCTCTCTGTTCTTTGCTTATGGGCCCTCTTTCACCTGATATTGATAGATGACTCTGGACTTCTGTTGTCTTGAACATTGCAGTGTCTCTTGCCAAGTGGAAAGAAATTAAGGGGTCATGTCTTTTTGCAGCTTCTGCAGGATGTTTAGGGCACTTCCATTCTTGATTATGATGTTCTTTGAATCAAAATAGATTATACAAAGCATATTGGAATCTACTGCAGGCTCCTGCAGGGAATGTAATCCAAGTCCTACCCTGACAGCCCCCAGACCATAAAGTATTAATGCTCTTGAATTTGTGAAAGTGGAAGCAAAAATTTGCTTAGCTTACATTGCGTCTTATAAGTATAAAATCCGCAACATTTGGATTGAATTTGCATACAATCTTTCTAACTCTCACACTCCATTCCTGAGTCAACACTTTGCAAATCAAATCCCCTTTATTGCAATTTATAGCTAGAACTGTTTTAAGGTTTGTCTCTATCAGTTTTGCACATCAGTCAGACTGAATGAGCAGAATGTGACCATAGATTTTTCAGTCTCTCCATACATTCTCGGCTGGATTTAGGAGTGGACTTTGACTGGGCCATTCCAACACACAAATCTGCTTATCTAAGCCACTCGCTGTCCTGCTGGAAGGTGAAACTTCACCCCAGTCTCAAGTCTTTTAGAGACATTTAGTTTCATCTTCAAATCAAAATGAGCAAATTTATAATCATTTTTACACAGTTGGTTCTTATCAGGTTTAAAAATACAGTATCTAACAACAAATGGACAATAGACAGACAGAAGTCTTCAAAAAAGATTTAACCACCTGATCTGTGCATCATTGCAGCTCCTCCAGAGTTACCATGCATGGCCTGGCCTATCAGTTTAGGGGGACAAGCTTGTCTCAGTTGGTTTGCAATTATAAGACGCACTTTCCACTTTTGAAGAATGACTTGAATAGTTCTTTTTGAGATGTTCAAAAGGTGTGGTATTGTTTAATAGCCTAAGGGTGCTTTATTCTTCTCCACAGCTTTATTTCTGATCTGGCTGTTGTGTTCCTTGGCCTTAATGGCACACTTTTCACTAATGTTCTCTAACATGCACTTCCATGTGAAGTGGACGGGATGGAAGATTCCTTCTACTCAGATTAGATATAACTTCTTACACAGATATTAGATCTAACTTTAAATGTTTTGCTCTACCCAAGTGCTTTTTCACTGTGTTTTTAAACGGCTTGTCTCATCTTTGTGCCTTTGTGTGTGTGAAGGATGAGAGGAACCAGGTGCTGATTGCCTACCTGTGGATTAGGCAGACGTGGCACGATGCCTACCTGAGATGGAACACAGAAGACTACGATGGTCTGGACGTCATCCACATTCCCAGCAGTCTGGTGTGGCGGCCCGACCTCGTCCTCTATAACAAGTACGCCAGTACGTCGTCCAACGCAAAGACATGTTCACGCCAGATATCCATCTGAGAAAAATTGTGAAAATGTTCTTGGTCGCCCGTTTGGATGAAATATCATCAAAACTACACATTGAACGCGTCATCCATTTTTAGTTATTTTGTTTGAGTCAACTTTTCTTTCTACCTTCAGAGCTGATGATGATTTCTCAGGACCGATGGACACCAATGTCAGGCTGCGCTACAACGGAGAGATAACTTGGGATGCTCCGGCCATCACTAAAAGCTCCTGTGTTGTGGACGTCTCTTATTTTCCATTTGACAGCCAGGAATGTAACCTCACCTTCGGTTCTTGGACGTACAATGGCAACCAGGTAAAGAAACATGGGGATTTTGTGTGGGATTTATTTTCTGTAGTGACACATTTGTAGATATTTATTTTCTCAAATTTCAGTGCACCACTTCTGCTTTGTCATCCATCTCTCCGCTTCCAGGTAGATATCATTATGGGCATGGATAGCGGTGACCTCTCTGATTTTGTGGAAAATGTGGAGTGGGAATGCCACGGTATGCCGGCCACGAAGAACGTGATAATGTACGGCTGCTGTTCCGATCCATACCCAGACATCACCTACACAGTGCTCCTGCAGCGCCGCTCCTCCTTCTACATCTTTAACCTCCTCCTGCCATGCTTCCTGATCTCCTTCTTGGCTCCACTGGGATTCTACTTGCCTGCAGACTCTGGGGAGAAGGTTTCCCTCGGGGTGACGGTTCTCTTGGCTCTCACTGTGTTCCAGCTCATGGTGGCTGAGAGCATGCCACCATCAGAAAGTGTGCCTCTCATCGGTGAGAGCGTATTGTTATTATTGTGTACGCTGAATAAAGTATCATTCTGTTCATGTTTGTACTTGTTCCACAGGGAAGTACTACATTGCCACCATGACCATGGTCACGGCCTCCACAGCGCTCACCATTTTCATCATGAACATTCACTTCTGTGGTGTAGAGGCCAAACCAGTCCCACACTGGGCCAAAGTGCTTATCATAGACTACATGTCCAAGATTTTCTTTGTGTATGAAGTGGGCGAGAACTGTGCTTCTGGCTCTTCTTCCTCATCTTCTCACTACCTCCAGGATGACTTTTGCCACCCTCAGGTTAACTCCCACATTCAAGCGAATGGGAAACCCCGGGGCCCCGGCAGCCAAGAGGACCGGAAGCAACACAGATACCCCCGGCTCCAACCCTCCAAGCAGCACCAGCAGCACAGAGTGAAAGTGCAGCACCACATTACGAGAGAAGAGAGCAGCCATCTCTCCAGATCCGCACCTGGAAGGTATGAAGGCTCCAATGGTAAAATCACAATGAGCGACTGCTGCATGGAAGACCAGAAGCCTTCGTGTCATCTGGAGGACCAAAAGTTTCCATGCTGTCTTGAAGACAAAAAGCCTCCACCTCAGGGTCCCACCGTGACCTTTGGGCCCTGTGTGTTTTGCAGCTTTGGCAGCGGGTTTCCTAACGTGGACAGCAAGCTGGTCCGCAACGTGGAGTACATTGCTAATTGTTTCCGAGAGCAGAAGGCCACATGTGCCAAGGGGGCAGAGTGGAAGAAGATTGCGAAGGTGATGGACAGGTTCTTCATGTGGATTTTCTTCGTCATGGTTTTCCTTATGAGCATTCTTGTAATTGGCAAGGCGAAATGACCAACCCTATGTGGTTGGAAATCTGACCCAATGAATGCTCTCTGGTCTGACGCAAACTGATGATAAGACCATATCATGGTAAACATTTGCTGTTATAAATGTGTGGGAGTTGATTTATAGGGATGGAATATTGATGAAAAAGACAGAAAATGGCAGAGAAAATTTGTTCTCTGTCAATAATAAGCAATACATCAACAAGAAAAATGTTGAATTAACAACTGTCAATGCTTTTACTATCACTGATGTGTTCGGCTTTTCTGCTATATTTTTCCTTCCACTCAACTTTCCATGACGCAAACTCTGAACATCTGTTTTCATAAGGAATAAAACCTTCAGCTCTCTACTACACAACTGTGAAGTTGTCAGGGTTTTCTATGACTGTGATGCCTATAACATGATATTTCTGCATCAAAAAATCACATTGAAATTTGTAACATAAAAATTTTCTGGGTGACAAAATTTTGAGTTTTTGTTCAGCTGTAAAAAATAATCAAAATAAAACAGAAATAAAAGGTTGAAGTAAAAAGGAAACTCATCAGGGGATCCCAAATGAAATTTTCAGTTCACTTTGCTGTTGCAACTATACAATTATATCCATCTCTGAATTCTGTGATCTGAAGCTCTTTGTTGCAAATAAACTTTCAACATCTCATTAATTTGAGGTAAGGTTTTTCAGCTTGTTATGTTAGGATCACTGCTTAATTTTCTCATTGTCTCAGAAATCAAAGCCCTGATTTCTGAGCTTATAGGATGATTTATTTTTAATGCAGAAAGCGTGATGGCGATGCCGGCAGGTGGGTGAAAACATAAATTTCTGTCATTGATTACCTCTGAGTATCGCAATAGTGATGCTGAGGGAAGAAGCCACACATTTCGAGACATTAATCAGCTTTTAATCTTCTTAGCGATTTTTAGTCTTTCTGAGTTTTATTATATCTATGTTGGTACAAATGTATTTTTTAAACTGTCTTTTATTGAAAATACTTATCCAGATTTGGAAAAATAAATACTTTGTAGAACTTCTGTTTTGTGGATATTAAATTAATTAAATTCTTTGCTATTCTTCTCCAGCTTCACAATATAGCCTGTTTATGAAAACAATATATTGATATATTCCTTTAGACTTATTCATATTTTATTTTCCCAAGCAATAGAGTCCAGCATGCTTTTTGGCATGCAGTGTCTGTGTCGACACAATCATAGTTTGTCATCATCTAATCACTGACTGAGCGCACGTGGGTGGATCTGCTGTCAAGTTAAAATATGACCAGTGGAGACAGCACATGTCTTATTAACAACTCAGAAATCAGATGCCTCAGGGCTACGAGGTGCTGCTGATCCACAGAATCATTTTTCTGTTCAAATTATCCAGTGAATAGTTAATGAGCAAGCTTTGTTTGCTGCTCTGCCAGCACAGCGGTGAGGACGTAAGGCAATAGGGAGCATCAATTATGCAACACAAAGTGTACACTCTTACACCCCTTTCCTTTAAATCCACCCCAGCCCCCACCTTAAACTTTGGAAGTCCTTTAAATGTGTTGGCGTTGGTGTGTTTGTCTGTGTATGCAAACATGAATCCAAGGCAGGACAAGGATTAAAAAAAATAAATAAAGGGCTTGAGGACAGAGGGAATGATGGGATTTTGAAATAGCTTTATAAAGAGCATAGGAGGTTTTAAAAGTTTGGAGGCACCAGACTAAAGCTTAACAAAACTACAGTATGTTTATTTTTGTATTCTCCTGCTGTTTTCTTCATAAAATGTGTTTTCTGTGTGTTTTAAATATGTTTTCCATGGCTTCAGTGGTCCAAAGAGCATTTGCTCCAGAACTCTTGTGGTTTATAACTTTGTAACCATAAGCCATGATGCCCGCTTTTTTAAAGAGGCTTTATGCTGGCAATCATACAAGTAGAATTGTCCAGGATTTTTAAAAAAATATATTTTTATGAACTTCAACAGTTTAAATGCTAATTGAGGGCTCTGAAGTCTTAACTTCAGCTATTTACATTTTTGACACTTTCTCTGAGCAATCTACAATCTGACCTTGATTTAAATTTATTCCTCACTATTTTAGCTGTTTTGTGTCAGTCTTCTTTAGTGTGAGTTGAAATTATTTGCAATCATTAAAACCCTTTGCAGATCAATGAGCAGCAACATGCCTTTCTGTTTCGACATTTTGTTAACACTCGTACTTCAGACAAGCAAACTGTAAAAATTTCCACTTTTGTAGAGGTGATTTTTGCCAGTGTAATTGTGAAAATTCTAACTCTGATGAAGACTAAAAGTTAAATTTCAAAACATGGACACATTCACTAAAGTATCTAGGATTCTGTCATAAGTATTAGTAATTTCTCTTGTTTCACTATTGCTTTGATTCCCAGCTACAGGAAATGCCATGAAAAGCACAACAAGCTCCTTGTTATTCAAGAGGAAGAAAAATGTCGACTGCTGTCATTTGAGATTTTGCCACAATAGCCAAACCTTACAGTAGAGGGCGCTCATTTTTCAGGACTTACTCTCTTGCCCTCGGGTTTACTGCAAGAAACTTGACATGGCACCATAGGAACAGACAATGCAGATTTATCTCCTGAAATTGCCCATTCATGCCATTTCATTATTGAAAGGCAAAAATAAAAATGGTAATTGTCTGTTCCTTACGCCCCAAAGAAGTTAAATGAGGACAAATCAAATCATGTCATCCACTCAAAACTTTCACAAAAACTCTAAAAGCTACAAATGAAAACTGAGTCCATGTGTAATACACGCTTTGGGAGCAGGCAGTTTGCTGTTTTATGGTGCTGCAGAGTATTTCCACTGAGGGTCTTTCCCTGCTGTAGTCTGCATACAGAAATGGGAAGAAGCTGTTTGTTTGATTCATCCCGTCCCACATAGTGATTACTATGCTGAGCCGGAGTGTAAGCTATGTAATCTGAACAAGCAAAGCAGCCAGGTCACTGAGGAAAAGGCTGGTGGGATGAATGTTTAGCTTTATACAGCATAGTAGCATCACTGGGATGATATTTTACCTTCAAACACCAAAGCATACAATTTGTGATGAAAATATTTCCAGGAGCCCTACTTCTTTAATTAAGTAGATTATTTCCTGCATTTGCTAAATATCATACAGTTTCGCTATAAAAATTCCTGGGAAGAAGAATGCTGTCTCCTGTTTGATAGCATTGAAAGACAGGATACAACTGAGCTAATGTGCTACAACTAATACTAACTGAAGCCATGCAAAATTACACATCATTAAACAACAAAATACTTTGAAACTACTACAAAAATCTGGAGTTTATATAAAAAAGGAAATGCTATATGTCTTTTCTAAAAATCCCATGGACATAAAAATCAATATGTGAAAGAGCAGATAGTGATGCAAACAGAGCTTCTTTTGAGTCTTATCTATTATCTAACAGCTCACCTGTAGGGCACACTGCAGTAAGTCAGTGCCCAGCCTGCCAGAAATGATCAAATTCAGTTACTGTCTAATTTTTCAGTAAATGTATGTAAATGGACTAAGGCAATATTTTCATGGTTCTTAAGTTTGTAGATGCTCATCTCTGTTCTGTTCTGCATGTCCTCCTGTTGTCCCTGTGGTGCTCCAGGGGATTCGTGCTTGGGGGTGGGAGGGTCTTTGGATCTGTCTCCCTCAGGTGTCTGCAGTTGGAAGCACTTAGTCTGCGGTGATTTTTGACAAAACTCCTTGACCTACGTTTGTATAAAAATGATCCCCATTTTGTGGATTTTGTGTGTTCCGGACTCACAATGCTCTTATTACTTCTTCTATTGATTTAGTTAGACACCCCAGCTTGCGAGTTAAACCTATTTGATTCCTAACAGAATGAATCACCATTTCAAATGATAATTAATTGCTTTGCTGCAGTTATTTGACAGGCTGAATTGAATGTGGATAGATTGATGAAGGGCATGTGGAAGGGACAAAAAAATGCTTGACTGACCAGGGGGAAATGTATGAAGCTACAAATCAATTTTGCCCATAATCTCTTTACTGGTATTAGGGTGGGGTCTGGGTGACTGAAGTCACAGGGGTGTGTAATCATCATGTTGATAAGGGGAGGGAAGTGAGCCAACTGCCACTGCAGGAGGAGAGGAAATCGATTTGATGTGATGTCAGTGGATAGAGAGGTCAGGTAGCAGGAACACCCTCAATGGCATGAAGGTTTTCTTTCACATTTGAAATTCATCCACTGAACTCGGATTAACTTGATCTACTTATTCCTCAGTTTCTGCAGATCACATAGAGTATTCCTAATTACCTGCGCCACAATCTTGTCTTAATGGATGGACTTTATCAGAATTGTAAAGTCTTCCCCTTAATCCTTCACCTTTATTTGAGAATATCATATTTGAGAATATATATATTTTCTCATCAGGATTTTCTATTTTGCTCGTTGAAAGAAAAGTTTGTTAAACTCGAGACCGGTTTTTCAGTGTGCATGTGAAATTAATTACCTCGCAAAACTCAGTTCCTAAAAAATATATATATAATTTTTGTCAAAAGAGCTTTGAAATGTTATTGTAACATGTAGTGGAATTAAGGTGCCGAAGTCCAAAACCTTCTAAAATCAGTCTGAAGAGTGAACATAATTTTATTGTCACTAATTAGGTAAAACAAAACAAAAGCAAATACCTAACAACAGAAGATATATTTGATTCTGAAAGTCATTAAAATTCCTTAAAAGTCTAAAAGTTGACAACAGCCTCGATAGAACAAAATGGAGTACCTTAGTTGGAATGTGCTAGATTTGATCTGGGCACATAGAGTCCTGAAACCTGGACGATGTTCTGCTTGGACGATGTTCTGGCCTTGGCACAAACAGCTGTCCAATCAGAGAGTAGAGAAGCTAAACGTGGGAAGCAGTGCTGGTCCTGGTGGCACATGGTGTTGACTTTGTGAACGGTCCCCAAAATTGGACTATAATTTTTCTCTCTCATTTTTCTCTATTTACACCATAGAGAGAAATAGCGTCATTTTTTTTGTTATTTTCTGTTTCTATTATGAAACAGAAAAATATTATTGGGGAAACTTCACACAATCTAAATAGGTGGAACTTACAACACTTTGCTAGACGAGAAGTCAAGAAGCTCCTGTTCTCAGTCTGGAGCCATGCTCACTGGATGGTGATCTTTCTGTCACCCATTTGCTCAGATTTTATGGTTGATTAGTCAGGAGGGATATGACTTAATCAATCAGATGTGGATTTATAGAATGTGTAAGGTTCACATTTACCAACCAGGAATAAAAATAGCTCACGGTAATCTCAAGTGTGTGATCGCTTAATTTTAACAAAGAGCATCCAGCAAGTGAGCAGCATTTCAATTTAAACTTAAATCTTAATTATTTTAAACATTCTTAA